CCCTCCTTGCAACACTCCTAGGTGTCTGTAAGAATTGATCAGTCTCTACCCAAATGTCACCTCCTCAACGAGGCCTCACCTGGTTTCCTGAGGCCAAAGAGCAGCCCCTCCAGCCCCCCATGCCCTTCAGGCTGCTTCATCTTTCTGCACAGCGGGATTCTCTGTCTGGCCTGTCACATATTTATTTGCCATTTGATTATTGTCTCCTTTCCTTTCCCTGCAGTGTATGCCCATAGGACAGAGACGTTGCTCTATTCTGTGCCCGAGCAGGGCCTGGAGTCTAATATGCTTGCAATAAATGATCCAGTATTCATTGCATGACATAGAAAGGCTACACATGACAAAAAGAATCTTACCTTAGTTTAGGACACCCTGTAATCACAGGTGAGTCAGTGGGAGCTGTAGGGGCCCCGTCTAACTCATGGGGCTGCTGGGAGCCAATGATATGTGTGAGTGACTAGAACCCTGAAGGCGCTGTGCAGCACAAAAATGCCAATAGTGCAAAGTTGAGGGAGAGAGGTGTTCACCCTGTCCTGGGGCGCAAATCTGTCCATATTATCTGTTTTCTGTCCTCAAGAGCAGTACAGGGGCCTCCCTGGTAGTGCAGGGGTTAAAGATACAGCACTATCAAGCGACTGCCTGCCACTAGAGCATGAGTTCAATCCCAGGCTGACCCACATGGTGCAGCAGACCTCTCCTGTCTCCCCACTGCTCCCCTCAGCAGTGGATTTCAGTAGATCTGTCTGTTCTGCTCCCCACTCTGTCTCCGGTGATTTCTCTCAACCCCCACCTCTGGCCTACACCCCAGTTCTTGTATACATAAATAAATAAAATTAAAAAAAAAAAAAAAGCACAGCACGGCTGCATAACCCTAGGGTGCTGGCCACTGCCCCACCCCCAAGGACGTCCCAGAGGGGCCTGGGGGCTATAGCCCACAAGGCAAATCACCTCTTTTGTTTCCTTCTTCAGCCCTGGGCTCAGCTGAGACAATCTCCAGGACCTCTCCAAGAACAACATAAAGCTTATAATTATCCTAGTTCTGTAGTCACCATCAGTGGCCCAGGGCTTTGTGGGCACAATTGCTAATCCTTCCACCCGAGGCAGCTGTTATTATGCAGTTTCCTGGGGCAAAACCCGACATTGGCCCAGCACTGGCTAAATCCTTTCCACCACCCCTTGCTCTTTCTTCCAGGCTCCCTGGGCCTGGTCGTGAGCCTCGCTGCTCTGCCTGTCGTAACAAATGTCTTTGGTTGCTGTTTACAAACATTAAAAAAAAACACGCATCGATAAACTACACCCTTAAACTAGATAGAAACTAAAAATCAGATTGCATTTAGATTTCACATGAAAAACATTTGATTGCTGAGTACTCACTCAACAAATATTTTATTCATTCATTCAACAAACATTTCGAGCCCCTAAGTGTGCTGGCACCTCGCTGGGGACTGGAGATACAGCATATATCCAAATGCATATAATATACAGCATAGATACAGCATATAACAAAATGGAGAAAATTCTGTCTCCATTTAGTTGATGTTCATGGATGAGGGCAATAAACATAACAAATAAATACACTGTCTGCCCAAAACAGAACAGGGAAGGAGGAAGAGGTGTGAGGCTGGCAACAAAGCGTTCTGTTTTAAATGGAGAGGTCCTGTCCGCCTCTCAGAGCGGGACAAGCCCATGTGCGTGTGGTGGGCACCACTGCAGGGGCTGTTGCCACTGCTCTGGGAGAAATGGGGAGCTGCTGGGGTGTTTGTTTGGAACAGCAAGTTACGTTTTCAAGTAGGTTGCCATTCAAAGGCTCCCGCGGGCTGCTGTTTTGGAACAAGGGTCTGGCTAGGGGAGCAGAACAACAGTTGACTTGGAGAAACATCAATGCCTGCTGTTGGGGCTGGGGGCAGGAGGGGCAGCTCTTCTGACCTTATGACATGCAGGGCTGCCTCCTTTCCTGGAGCTGGGGAGGCCTGCGGCTCCGAGTGTGTGTTTATTGAGGCTTGTGGCAGTCCGGCACCAGCAAGTCCATCAGCGCTGTTTCCTCAACAGCCGGCACCCCCTTGTCAGGCTCCATAAAGGGGTCACATCTATTAACATGATGCTCTCACATGCCTCAGAGACTTCAGTATTGTGTGCACAGAACCTTACATCTGCTGGTAATGAAATCCACGTGACTCACTTTATGGCGATGCTCTCTCTACCCGGTGGTCTAGTGGCAGGCCCCGAGAGTCCTGAGTGTGGGATCAGCATGCAAGCGAGGTAGGAGACTGCCCTACAAAGTAGACTTTATGCCTTAAAAAAGGAGCACGACCAATCCTGTTCTCGAACCATCTTGCCTGGCATGTTTCCGTTCACAAAGTCTCAGGGTGTGCACGCCACGCCAGTGGGCAGGGAATGCCACAGCTGTCCCTAGAAGGTTATTGCTAAACAGGGTAAATAAACGGGCTTCTGAAGCTTGCTTAAAGCTGGGGAGAATAATGCCTCCTTTCTTGTCCAGTTCAGTTTTCAACAGTGAAGTGACCTAGGAAGTCACGCTAGACAGGACCACAGAAAAGTCAGAGGTTTCCTGTGGAGTGAAACAGGCTTCTAGGGGCAGGGAGCACTGTCTGCTGAGGGTGTCAAAAGTTAGGAATTTGCCTTCAAAGTGCCCTCAGACAAAGACGCTTCTGAGCTCACATTCTTTCTGTGGGGCACAATGACACTTTGCAAAAAGGGAAACCAACTGGAAGCAGCATCGTGAAGCTTCCGTGGGACACAGGCAACAAAAGCCCGCTCAAGCAGTGTTAGGGGAAGCCAGACTCACGCTGAGCTCGCCTTGGAGCCTCCTTTCACCCATCTTGATCCCGACCCATCACTCCCCAGACAACACCGATGGCCGGGGCGAACAGCGCGCTCAGACGCTTCCCGCCGTCAGCGCATGTGCATCAGAAACATGACAATTCTTGGGAGAGCCCCATGGCGAGTATGCTCAGAGTTTGGGATTTTTGTTTTCCAGAGATTTTCCTGCTTTAAAAAGTATTTAGCATTTTACTCCTACTGGGCCGGTCCTATGAAACGCCTCCCCTTCCTTGTCACAGGACAGTTGGCAGGCCCTGGGCATCATACCTGTCCATAGTCCAAACCACAGTCCTGCAGACAGGACGCCTGGGAGCGGCCAGGTCGCTTACCCAGTATCACAGGTGTACAAGGGGCAGGACGGGGATGGAACCCAGCTCACTCGGATAGGGGGTTCAGCTCCTGACCCTTTATTAAATAATGTCCGTGGGGCTGTCGTTTTTAAGAAAAAACTACCTCGGAAAACGAACTGCATTGAATGGCTGATGCTTGATGACCTGGACACAGAACACATTCTTCCTGTACATACTGCTTGGCACCTGCGCAGCGCCAGGCTGCCTGTCAACTGTGGAGGGAGGCAGGAGAAGCAAACACAATCTTTGTCCCCAAGGACCATCTAGTGAGGAAGACAATTAAAGAAGTAATTAAAATGAAGCCCAGTCATGGCCCTGGAGGGGAGCATGGTGCGTGATGGAAGCAAGAGGGAGATTTTAATAACATGCACATGTGTACACACGTGGGTGTGCAAGTGTGAGCACGTGTGTTGGGGTTGCAGGTGTAGGGAAAGCCTCGCCCTCACCTGCCCTGCGTTCTTCTCTCTCCTGGTCATCCATTCCGAGCTGGGCTCAGGGCCCCCCACTACTCCTCTTGCTCCTGCACCCCTCATTCTAATCCATCATCACATTCTGTTGACCCAGCACTTATAATTTTAGAGGCCGCCTCCCTTCTCCTTTCTTACCAGCGCCCAGTCCCTCTCTCCTCTGTCTTTCTGCAAATCCTCAACCCTCCCCTCCCAGGCTGGCTCTTCAGTTCTGTGCTAGGAAAACGCGACTGTGGTGCGATGACCCCCTGCTGACAACGTTCCCTGGCTCTCCACTGGCTGAGGATAAAGTCCAAGTCGGGTGCCACGGCCCCCAGGTCTCCCCGAGTCAACTCTACCTACTTTTCAGCTTCCTCCATTGCCTCTCCCTCTGCTGCCTTTCTGTGCCGACCAGGCCAGCCCGCTTGCATCTTGGGGGTCGTGTGGACCTGTCTCTACTGTCACCACACCCCCTCCCACTCCTTCAGCACAGGCTGAGCTCCAAAGACTTCATCCTTTCTGACTGGATTCACGTATCTGCTCTCAGGAAGGACCCCTTCCCGGCTGCGCCTCCAGGGCCAGTGAGCTAGGACGTCTCCTTTGGGTGCACCTGGCACCCAGGGCGCACACTGCACACTGCATTACAGCCCCTCATCTGTGCCTGTTTCCCTCCTCAACTTTTGACTTCTGGGAGGACAAGGATGGCCTCTCTCATCTCTGCTTGCCTAGCACCCCCCACCGCCCTGATGTGTGACAGAACGCCAGCGCGCATTTGTTCAGCGAGAGGCCGTGCAGACAGTTCCCGCAAGTCATTCTCAGCCCAACAATCGAAAGTGATACTATTCTACGTGGGAGTAAAATAACGGGGTATGGGTTTCCCCAAAGTGGACTTTCTAAAAGGAGTAGTCAAGTGCAATTTCCTGAAAGTTACCAATTTTGGCTAGACAGAGGATCATGCTGCTACCTGCGCTTGTCTGTATTTTCAAAATGCAGTGACTTCTGCGGTTTCGCCACACGGGCAACGGAAAGTCAGCGCGTCGCGTCCGCTGGGGCTTTATTTAAATGCCATCGGGCAGAATAGCTCCCATCCTGAGGCACAGTCCAACTTGCTTCTAGACCAGTTTGAGGTGCACACTTGCGGGTGTGGGGCGGGGGCAGAGACACACCGCCTGCCGATGTCAGCCCCGGGAAAGCACAGCCCGAAGTGACTTGCGTGGACCTTCAAAGCCCTCCTCGAAGGCTGCCTGTCTTCAAGAGTAGTTACTGTTTTGGAAATACTGTGGGAAAGTCAAGGGGTCTTTGGAAGGAGAGCAGCCTCAGGAGGTGCTCGGATAGGAAGGCGAGGCCGGCCGGAGCTATGGCTGACCATCAGAGTGGGCAAGACAACCGACAGGTAGAGGACCGACAGGTAGAGGACCGACAGGTAGAGGACCGACAGGTAGAGGACTGACAAGTAAACGATTGACAGGTAGAGGACCGTGGTCATCCGTTAACGCTGTAGGCACTTCGATAACCACGTGATCTGAAGTTCAATCGTGAACTTGACTACCTCTAGGAAGCAGCTTGTGATGCCCTTTCTTCTTTTGAGAGGAGAAAGGAAAACAAAGATTTTATCGTGAAAAAACGGGCCAGTCCCCACACATGCAGACACGCACACGGCTCGCTGCTCTTCAGAAAGCACACACGCTTTCGGTTTAAACACGCTTTCGTGTTTGCAGGATTTCACACAAGCACTCCAGCTGGGTTTATTTGTAACACGGGTGTGGAATGAAGTATCACATCACAACACATTACATGTGCTTCCATGCCAGCCTTTCCTTCCTGCCCAGAGCTATTTCTAAGGGCCTTCTTAAGCCAAGTGTGAAAAGTGTATCTTGTCAAATTGTGATAAATTGTTACCTGAGTGGCATGAGCTTGCTAACTAGAAGCAACTTCAGTCTTCTCAAAGGACATCCTTTATGTAACAAATTGAATCTACTCTTTGTACTTCTGTAAATTTGGAGGTGAGGTGGGGCCACTGAGGAGGCTCAGCAAAAACAGTTGGATTATTCCCAAGCAGCCTTGACCTATTTTAAAAATACACTTTTTTAAAATGAAATATTGCCTTAACCTAAAAAAAAAAAAAAATGAAACCATATAGTTTGGTGCAGAGCTCAAATAAAAATAGATCTTTGGTGAAAAAGTTTGCTGCCTCTAACACTAAGCCTGTGTGTGTGTGTGTGTGTGTGTGTGTGTGTGTGTGTGTCCAGCACTTGTCCACACACGCCTGTATTAGTCCACATTTGGAAAATAGTCATTTTGGCTCAAAGAAAAGTTCTTAAAAAGAGGCCTTGGGTGAAGTTCTTCAGAAAAAATTGAAATGTCTATGTTTGTTTAAATACTTTCATGAAATCATACACAGTGTAATTAATGATTTTGTTTTATAAATGCAAAACTACAAAAAATGTATAAAATATAATTGAGCGTGTTGGTACACTAACCACCTATATGCGACCTTTAATCTAATTCTGTACAAAGGAAGACACGGTTTGGACAAAGGTAGGGGAATTTCTTGTGGGAATTTGTGAGAAATCTGGTAGATTACATATAGTTTTTTTTTTTAAATGTTCATCATCACTTTTTTTTTTAAATTTTATTTATTTATTTATTTATCTATCCATCTATCTATTTATTTATTTATTTATTTATTTATTTATTTATTTATTTATTTATACCAGCACTGGGCACAGTCAGAAGCGCAGGAGGGTGAGAGAATTCACCAGAGCCAGAGCCAGAGCAGGGAGCAGAGCAGGCAGAAGGACCGAAGTACACTGCTGAGGGGAGCAGCGGGCGGCAGGAGAGGTCTGCGCGCCATGTGGGACCCTCCTCCGGTGGCCGGGGGCAGCCGGGGATCGACTGGGGATCGACTGGTGCTGCAGAAGCTGCGGGCAGCTTCGCAACCCAGCGCTCAACCGCTGCGCCACCGGGGAGGCCCAGATTACATATAGTTTTAATAGCTGCCCACATGCTTGGTAAGGTCTGCATATTCTCACATGTAAAGCATACTGAGTCATATTGCCCCAAGCAGGCAAAGCAGTCAATAGAAGTAGGCTTTGGTAGCAATACCTTAAATATCTTTACATACTAATACTAATAGTGCCCTAAAGATATTTAAGGTTTAAGGGTATTTAAGTTTTAGGGATATTTAGGGTTTAGGGGTAGGCTTTGGCAGTAATGCCTTAAATATTTTTAGGGTGCTATTTGTATATAAAGATATTTAAGGCATAACTACCAAGGCCTAGCCCCAAACCAGCAATAAAATAGAAATAAAATAAAATAAAACAAACAAACAAAAGCCAAATAGCGCCCATCTGGAGAGGGGCCTCTGGAGAAGTGACAGGCCGCCCTTCTTTCCTGACATGGAAAAAGCCAATTCATTGTCTCTTATGTTTTAACATGTCTTTATTTCTTACCAAGATCTTATGTTTAATAACACAGCAAAAGAGATTGTCTTGAAACTGTTAGCATGCAACTAAGGGGTACCCTGGGATCCCCAAACTGTCTGGTCATGCATGCACACAAGGACAAAGCATTCTCTTTGCAAAAGAACTTCAGTAGGAGAGTATGTACAGAGAGCGAAGAGACTAAAACACTCAAAATTACTCATCCCTTGTGGGTCCATGCCCCGCCAAACAGGGTTGGCCCGAAATGGGGCCACTGAGGTCCGAAGACTTGCCACAAGTCTAAGGCACCTTCCGGCAGGCAATCAGAGGACAGGGGTGACAGGGGCCAAGAGAGTCTGGGGTGAAAGGAGCAAAATCAAAGTACAAACCAAGATAGTCGTCACCACTGTCAGCCACCCCAATGGTCTCCCATCCACATGTCTCCTCCGAGCTCCCCAAGTTCTGTTGTAAATCCAGAGCTGAGCAGCAAGCACATGCTTCTTCTCCCACCTGCCTGCGGGGTTACTCAGCTGTACCTGGCTGCTCAGCTCTGCCCATCGTCAGCTGGGTGGGGAACGTGGCACTTGCCCTAACAAAATTAAGGTGGTAAAAAAAATCCACATAGAAACAGGACCCTATATTGAGCACACATTGAGAGAAAGTTCTGGCAGAATGACCGTCCGGAAGCCGCCGGGAAAAGCCGTCCAGGGAAGAGAGAAGCCGGAGACGTTGTGTCTAAGTAAGGAGCCGAGTGAGGAAGAAGCCAATGACAATGAAAGGCTACAGCAAGCAGGCAAGGGTGTCTGGGAGGAGTGATGTGGTTGCTCATAAATAATTCTAACGGCAGTAAATGGGGAGATTTTCTAAAGAAGAAATAGGGAAAGGAAAAATAAACTCCTTAAGTTTGTTTTATTTTCTAATTCTTTTTTTAAAAAAGATTTATTTATTTATTTATGCATACAAGAACTGGGGTACAGGCCAGAGGTGTGGGGAGAGGATTTGTTATAGGACAGCCCCGATATTGAACGGGTTCCTGGCTGTGGGTCCTCACCCGCGCGCTTGAAAGGGACTTATGAATACTCCACTACCGACACACACAAAAGGTGAATAAAAGGTTTATTTACAAGGGAAAAGGAAATAAGGGAAATGTACAACTCAGGGAGAAAATAGGGAAATAAAGTCTTTCATGCGTCCTACCTGATCCGCCGACCTGGAAACCCAAAGTCACTCTCAGAGCTGGCCGGAGGCTGCGAGCTGGCGGAGAGCCAAAGCCCCCCCAAGTCCACATGTCTGGCTTTATATCAATCTGGCTGCTGAACCCCACCCTCAGGTCCCAGCCACCTTCCCTTTGGTGGGGATGGGATTTGGAGTTCCCAGTGTCTGGCTTTGGCCTGGGGTGGGGGTGGAGTCCACAAAGCCTGCATGGAATTAGCTTTAGGACATTCTTTTCCCCCTAACAGATTCACCAGAGACAGAGTGGGGAGCAGAACAGGCGGATCCACTGAAATACACTGCTGAGGGGAGCAGCGGGGAGACAGGAGAGGTCTGCTGCACCCTGTGGGTAGCTCCCTGGTGGGGTATCGAACTCGTGCTGCAGCGGCTGCTGAGAGCTTCATAGCTTGCGTCTTAACCCCTTGCACCACCAAAGAGACCCTTATTTTCTAATTCTAATGAAAATCATCTTAAGTTTTGCGCACAGAAAAGGCCTTTGAGAAGGAGACCTGGAGCCGGGGAGAAGTCACCCCTGGGGAGAAGAGGCCGCAGTGGGGTGAGCCGGCCTCGGGGCCCAGCCCGGGGCTCCTGCGCTGCAGGGCGAGCGCGGCAGGTGGTGAGAACCACAGCGGACCCCAAATCAAAGCAAAATAAAGCCAGTGAAGCGACGGTCCAGGAGAGCTGCCGCCCCACCGACGACACGGATCGATTTTGGGTGAATTTCCTCTTCTGACTCCCGGCGCTGGTTGTCTGCACCCCGCTGACCTGCTGTGTGATTGCTCCGACACCGACAGCCTCATTTTGTGGTTTTTCAACAGAATTATTGCCACCCCCCCCTCCCCGGTGGCAGCTTTCGGACAGCAAGGCGCCCGCCTGCCCGAAGGTCCCCCTCACAGTCCGGGGGCGCAGGAAGCCACCCCCCCTCCACGGTCCGACTGCGCCCGGGGCAGCCACAGAGACACCTGGCCAGGACCCCCGCTCGCAAGCACCCGGGGTGCAGGGGCCGGCTGTGGGCGCCCCACCGCCCCCCGAGCCTGCGAAGCGTCGGGGACACGCAGCGGCCGGACGAGGCCCCGTGGAGGACCCCCTGGCCGGGCAAGAGAAACCCCAGCCTCACCGCCGGGCGCCCGGTTCTCCCACCTGTGGTGGGGTCCAGGCCCGAGCGCCCCTCCCGGGGGGCCCCCAGCGCCCCAGCCCCGCGCCGGCCGCGAGGTGGCGGCAGCAGCCGGCTCTGCAGACGCGCTCCCGCTCCCCAGCAGAAACACCCGCTGTCCCCCGAACTGGCCGCGCGCCCCACCCAGCTCCCACCTCGCCCTGGCGGCCCTCGCGCCCCGGCGGCCCCGCGGCCCGCGCGCGCCCCCGGGGCAGGCGCCGGCTTCGCGCTCAGCCCCCCGATGGCGCCGCGGCGGGGACTCGGGGTGCGGGCTCTGCTGCCCCCTCGCGGCGCGTCGGCGGCTCGGGCGGCCGGGGAAGGCGCCCCGCTTCCAGGGAGGCCCGGCGGCCGGGGGTGCAGGGAGGCGCGTCCGCGCGGGCGCCTGCAGGCTCCGGAGACGCCCTCGGGGAGGTGGTTTCGGCGCAGCCTGTCCGGAAACCTCAAGATCTTGCTTGCGGCCGCTCAGCACCCCGAGCTTGCAGTCTACAAGGCAGCACCTCCTCCTGGCACCCCTCTCTCCGCAGGAGCAGCCTCTGCAAAATGAGGCTTTTAAAGCTTTTTCCCCCCTGGAGAAGAGTGTTGGCTGCGCCCGAAGCCCGATGGCCCTTAAAGGTCCTTTTGGATTCCAACTGTCAGGAGAGAGACCCAAGAGGGACAGGTACCCGGTGCGTGAACAGGGTGTGCTTGAGCCCCAGGATC